CATTGTTAATCAGCTATACTCCAATATGAAATAAAAAGTTAAAGAAAAATATGAATAGACAGTGAAGGTCACCAGGTTTGGAGGAAATCCTCTCATGGGCAAAGCAGAAACCAAAATATGTGAGGACTAGTATGTAAAACAAAAAAAGGATAGAAAAGAAGCAGAAACATTGTAATGAGCTAAGAAAACTTAATATGCCAGCAAATTTGGAGAACTCAGCAGTGGCCTCAGGACTGGAAAAGGTCAGTTTTCATTCTAATCCCAAAGAAAGGCAATGCCAAAGAATGTTCAAACTACTGCACAATTGCACTCATCTCCATGCTAGCAAAGTAATGCTCAAAATTCTCCGAGCCAGGCTTCAACAGAGGAGCCTGGTGGGCTACAGTCCCGTGGAGTCGTAAAAACGTGACTGAGCACGCACACAGACACCTCTGCTGTGGATCCTTCAGTTTTAGACTAAACTGGATCACTTCCTGTGGCACCCATTTGTCCTGCCCTTACCTACTCACATGCCTCTAGTTATGGAATCTCCTTTAAATGCCTGCTTCAGTTCCTTCCACTTCTGCACCTGCTGCTGTTAGACCGGGTTCCCCCCAGGCCTCACTGTGTTGATACTACCTGTGAAATGTCTGCTGTTTGTCTTTCTCTGTTACCTCTACCACTGTTAGGAGTTTTCAGGGTGGAGTTCAGTACCCCAGGCTCCAGCTGGGAGTCCCTGACAAAGGGGACTTCCATTTGGTGATAGCCTTGTGAATAAAAAGGAACTGGCTTTGTGAATAGACCCATAAGTGCCTGAAAGCACCCCAGTAAAATTTGGTAAAAAGGTGTATTAAAGAAACCAGCCAAAACCCAAGGCCACAATGGGACTTCCTACTTCTCACCCCAGAGTGAGCAGAGGAGAAGATTACAGGGCTCGCTTCTGGTGGAGACACGGTCCAAGAGGACCAGACCTCTGGGACGCACGAGCCCTGAGCCGTGTCCCAAGTTCTCAGGCTGAAAAAAATTCAGATTAACAACTCATCCTCCAGGGGTTGGGACTGAGTGACTGAACTGAACTGAACTGAAGAAAACAAAAAACCTTCCATTCATATTCACAAGAAGTAAAAGTATTGCACCCACAAAACAGGAATAAGGAAAGGTAATAATCAAAGAACAAGGAAAAGCTCTTAGAAAGTGAACCTGTAACATCAGAAAATAATAATCTGACAATGACGAAAAGGAAGATAATGAGGAAATCACACAGAAAGTAGAACAATAGAGGTGGGAAAAAAATGTGAGAAAAAGTAAAGAAAGTCAAATGATCAGTTCAGAAGATTTTCCCTAATAGAAGTTCCAGAAATAAGAGAGAGAGCAGAGGGGAAAAAATACAAGAAAATCTCCCAGATCTGATTAAAAACATCTGAAGGACATGGGTTTTTCTGAGTGCTTGGGATCATGAGTAGAAACCAAAACACAGGATCACACTAAAGCCACTGATCTCTGGCTTTTCCACCCTTCTTACTGTCCTGCTGTTTCCTTCCCTGGTATCTCTTCCTCCTCATTCCACTCTTCACACCCCTCTGGTTTCCGTCCATGACTTCTTACCTCCTCCTCCCTCTGTTCATGACATCCAGGCCTCTGACTGGAACCACCTCTGCTTGTCACTGGTTCCCACACATGCACCCAGATGCTTCTTTCCCTTCAACTGTGGACCTGCTTCCTGGAATTCACCACCCTGGCACCCACCAGTCCTCATACATATCTAAAAGTAAACTTTTATTTCCTTATCTCTTCTCCTTTTGCTTTCTATTCTAAGATAATGAGACAATAATAAGCCCATTTATCTTCCTATATTCCCTGTTATGATAATTGAAAATGTCACCCATACAGTGTCATAAGTCAGAAATTTAGGAGTCTGAGGAGCCCTGTAGTCCCTTCCGTCCTCCTTACCCCTCCCATTCAGTCATTACGTCCTAGCAGGTCTTCTTGTTGATAAGCCCATGTGTCCAGAGTTCCCAGGTGGCCCTCCTATTCCATCGCTCTTCTGTGTGAGGTCACTGGACATTTGAGAAGGAAATCTGTGGTGTGGAAAAGGTGAACAAAATAAACTAGTACAAAAATTGATCCTAGAGTTAACTTTAAAAGACTAATTTGTATCTTCAGATTTGAGATGATACTGCACCTACAAATAAAATCAAAATACTATGAGAAAGGAACAAGAGGGAAATTTTGCATGTTAAAAATATGACTGCCAAACTAAAATAATCTTATGGAAGGACTGAAAGATAAAATGGAGCTAAATATGTTTAGAGGGTAAAAGACACAAAGAAGGAAAATATGAAAGTAAAAGGTGACATCAGTGTCCAGGTCCAACATTCTGTTAGCAGGAATTCCAGAAAAGCAGAAGAGAGGAAATGAAGAGGGAAAAGCCATCAAAAAAGAATAGAAATGTCCAAGAACTAGAGATGATCAATACTATACAAAATTAATAGAGCATCCTAGGTGCTGAGCAAAAATCATATAGATACAGATGACACAGATAGAGATATATAGACATAGATCATTGTGAAATTTTAGAATACCAGGGATGAAAAGAAGGTTCCAAAAGCCTCTATAAAATGAAGAAAGAGTTTGCAACTACAAAGGAGCATTGTCAGTATCATCAGATGTTGGAAGAAATAGAGCAATTTCTTCAAAGATTTTAGAGAATTGTTTGCCTAACAAAACTAGAAAGAGTTAGGGCAAAATCAGGTCACTTTGAGACATGTTCAAGGACTCAGAAAGTTAACCTCTCTTGTAAAGTCATTGTCGTTTAACTAGAAATAGCTGGTAGAATTTGTTCACATTTGCTAAACATTTGCCAGTATTTTTCAAAGTTCCAGGAGTTCTCTTTGCAGTGCTGTTGTATGAAATAGAACATTCTCTTTAAATGTGTAACTATATTTGTTTCTTTGTTACTTTTTTAACACCAAACTCCATGAGCCTGATAATCTACCTGCCTTCCTCCACCCTTTTCTTAGAATTTCTCTTTTGCATGGTTTTAAAAATCTTGTCTCATGGTTGATTTCATTCTTTATATTTTTGTCTAAATTCTGTAACTTCCACAACTTATTAGATAACTTTGTAATAGTATATGAGTATATAAATAGTAGTCATACAAAATCAAAGTTGTACATTATTGAGGAGGACTTTTTTCCTAAAATATATGTTTTAATTATACCAGTATAGGAACAACATAAGTATTCCTTCTTCCCTTCCTACCTTTTTTCCTTTTTTTGAAATTAAAATATTTGTGATTATGTGCATTATTATAAAATTTTCCATCTTAACCATTTTAAGTGTATAATTCAGTGACATTAATTACATTCACAGTGTTGTGAAACTGACATCACTATTCTCAAACCCCATACAGAGACTCCATAACCTTTTAGCAGTAACTTCTTTTTCCCTTTCTCACAGCTCCCAGTAACCACTATTCCTTCTGTCTTGATTAATTTGCTAAATCTTTCATATTCAGCACCAACTAAAGAATAGAGATAAGAATTATTATGTAAGCTTTCCCTTTGCAATATTTGGATGTCACTATAGTATCTGTAATCTATTGTGGCATAACAATTTACCCCAAAAGTTAGTGCCTTAAAACAACGATAGTTGTGTATTTTTTCTCATGGTTTCTGTGGATAAGGAATCCAGCCAGGGTACAGTGGAGATGACATGTCTGCTCCCTTAGAAGTGGGGCCTTTGTTGGACGATCCCAAGACTGGGAGCTGGAATCTGAAAGCTGCTTCACTCACACGTCTGACTGTCACTGGGGGGCCCATGTGCGGCTGTCAAGTTGAATACCGACACATGGTTTCTCCAGTGTGGCCTGGGCTTCCCCACAACGTGGAGGCTGTGTCCCAAAGGCTAGGGCCCCTCCTGAAAGATAAGGAGAAGGAGAGAGTGCCAGAAATCTTGTTAGCATCAGTGACCAAGCCTCAGAAGACACACAGTGATGCTTTCACAACATCCTGTCAACAGACACCGTTACAAAGGTCCACCCAGGTTCTAGGGAAAGGAACACAGACCCCACCTCTAAATGTGGGTGTGTCAGTGTGACACTGTGAGACAAGTGTGTGAAATGGGATAAGAATTGGTATGGCCATTTTTGGAAGTACAGTCTGCCACAGCATGTGTCCACCATGTACCCAATTAGGGCCTTAGCAGGACTTCTCTAAAATTAACTCCTTTAATTTACCTTAACTGCTGGCTAATCAGCTGTGGAAATGGCTATTCTCCTTTCTCTTAATTAGGAGGTTGAAATTTACACATCAAAAAGAAGATGAAAAACATGAGATCATGAAGTTGCTGCTTTTGGAAAAGAGAAATCTGTTTCTTAGAAACAAGATAATTGTTAAACTATGTCTAAAAAGAAATGTGGAAAAAAAATAAATAAACTATGTCTATTAAAGAAGCTGTTCTAATTCATATCTTTACTGCTATTTGAAAATATTCCCTGGTCAGGAAACTTAATATGAAAAATGTATTGTTTATGAACATTGTTTGTGTTTATAGTTTGGGCATGAAAACATTTTTTAAGTCTTGATTGACTTGAAATATTTAAACACACAATTGCTTCCTTTCCCTGACATACATCTAGAGGTCAAAGTATATTTTTATTATATGACTTCTATAGCCAAGTGACCTAACTTCTCTAATGCTTTAGTGTTGTCATTTGAAATTTGGGAAGAGTAATAGTACCTGCCTCACAGAGCTAGCATGAGGATTAAATGAGTTAATATGCACAAAATGCTTCACACATTGTAAGTGCTAAAAAAAAGTCAGACACAAAGCCTGTGGAGACAGTAGTGGTATTCTACATACGTGTATATATGAAGAGTCATCATCGCAGGATTGAATTCATTTCCAATAGGGCATTCAAAAGATAGAGGGATATGGCTAATGACAAGCTTGTTAAGCTTTTTCATTTAGGAAGAACACACTCAATGGCCTCTTAATTTAATAACTTTGTTTTTTCCTAGTTTGAAAAAGAAAAACAGCGTGATATTCGATCATTCTTTTTACCAAACACTAAGAAAAGACAGTTGGAGACCTCCTGTGATGAATCAAGGGTATCCCAGCAGAAAAATACTGTAGTGCCAGCAGACCCTGGAAAAACAGCTACAAGAGATGATGAAAGTGATCTTGCACCTGAAGCTAAAAAACTGAAATCGGTCACCATTGATGACCCTTGCAGGCCCCCTGCGGAGAAACCATGCCGGCCTGGGCAGGCCGAAGCTCGGCTCGCGGTTGGGGCCTGTGAGGCCGAGGCCCAGGCCACCACCCCAGGCCTTCGCGGGGAGGGCTGGCAGTGTGCTCTCTGCACCTACATCAATGACTCGGCGTTACCTCACTGCGAGATGTGTGAGAGTCCGCGGGCCCGTGCTGGTGAGTACATGGAGGGCGACCACGAGGTGGGTAGCCGTGGTGTCTTCAGATAGCCTGTGTGTTTAGAGACAACTGCTGTCACCAGAGATCCATGACTGGGTTCCGACTTCAGCTTTTAAGCTGGAGGAAGAGCTTCACGTAGTGGAGACTGTGAATTTATCCCCTTGTGGAATGTGAAAAGCTCCCAGTTCTGTCAAGAATGTATATCCCTCAGTGTCTGTGACATGGCATTAATTTGGCACAAATGGACATTTCTGATTAATGCCAGCAGGATGTGAATTCAGTGGGCAGGAATAGAAGCTCTGTTGCTATGGCAGCAAATATGCCTTATAGCCATAGACCTGCTGTTTTCTTTCCTCTGTAGATAATACTTGTTTTTAAAGAAGTTGTAGATTATTTTGTTTAAATAGCAGAATGAATCCAGTGTAGCTTCTTCGCCTACTGAAATATTTATTGTGTTGTGTTTCTCTCATGACAAATCATAAAAATTCCTCTATTGATCTTCTTTTAAAAACCAAATCTCACTTCTATTTTATGAGTTTATCCTTTTCTAAAACATGCTATTTAAAACTAGAAATCATAAACATACCTCAGAGTATGTTTTGCTTGCCTGATATGCCATTTTCTGGTGTTTTATTTTTGAAATGATTATTAACAACTGTGATTGTCTTACGAAAACATCATCAGTATTTCTTTGTTTCCAATTTTAGACACCACTTTTATGGTAACTAAAAATGCCAAGTGGATGGTTTTGGAAACTAGAAGAAATTATAAATTAAATCTTATCAAAGTGTGTAATGATTATACACACTTCCCCATCATATGTGAATTCTTCAGAGTCTTGACATTAACAGAGACTCAGCAAAGATAGAAGCTCTAATGCTCCAGTTCCTTCCTGCTTGCCTTGCTCTCCTCTGCCTTAATTTTGATCTGAAAGAAAATGTAATCAGTAGCTGAGTCTTTCCTCCTTTGATTCTGGGTGTTCCTCCCAAAACTGACAAGTCTGCCATCTGGGTGATTATATTTGTAACGTGGACACCTGTTGTCTATGAACTAAATTGGAGCCACAAGCTTATCCCATATAATATCTCCCATAATTTGCATTATCTCATTCAATTTCCAACTGCTACAGGCAATAAAAATAAAGTATCTTGTGACTACAAAATAATATTAGTTCATACAAAGTTTATAAATTGAATGACTGAGCAATAAAAATTATGGTTTAATAGGGTTTTATAAGTTCTGATTTTTCTTTATGATACCAAGAGCAACAGTGAAGATTTCTAGAACCATGATTTAATAAGCAAACTGTCAAGCAGTCTAAAAAAACAAAACACCTTTTGTGAATATGAAACAATCTGATTTAAGAACAATACATATTCCAAGTAACAGTGATATTACCATATATGATAGTTTATTATTAGATTAATACTACTAGAGTTTGACATAATAATTTCCAACCTTGATTTGGATGCATCCCAAAAGTATTAAAAAGCAGAATTCCATCCAATTCATCTGAATTTTAAAATCAATACCTGCCACATAACACTTTGAGGAAACAGTGAATCCAAAACATTAAATGAGGGATGTTAGGATACAGGACTGGAAAGTCTTATAAAGTTGCTAACTAGTGGTCTCTAGTAGGTTAGCTGAAATTTGCTGTAATGTACATTGAATACTTGCTGTTGTTCAGTCTCCAAGTTGTGCTTGATTCTTTGTGACTCCATGGACTGCAGTACTCCAGGCTTCTCTGTCCTTCACAGTCTCCCAGAGTTTGATCAGATTCATGTCCATTGAGTCAGTAGTGATGGCATCCAACCATCTCATCCTCTGTCATCCCCTTCTCCTTTTCCCTTCAATCTTTCCCAGCATGAAGATCTTTTCCAGTGAGTCAGCTCTTCTCATCAGGTGGCCAAAGTATTGGAGCTTCAGCTTCAGCATTAATCCTTCCAATGAATATTCAGGGTTGATTTCCTTTAGGATTGACTGGTTTCATCTCCTTGCTGGCCAAGGGACTCTCAAGAGTCTTCTCCAGCACCACAATTCAAAAGCATTGATCACTAGAGTTGTCAGTATGTAACATTTCTCTTGTACTTTGTTCTTAACATCTATTGCTTATCCTCTGCATCTTATACTTCATACTCCCAGATTTGTATCTCTCATTTGAATTCCAGATTGGATGTATGCAGTGACCTACATTAGACCTGGATGTCTAAGGGGTACCTCAAGTTTAACATGTCCAAAATGGAATTCTTGATTTACAGTCACTACATCTAACACCAAAGTTTCTCTTCCCCTGTCTTCCCCTATTGTGCTAAAAACCTCGAGGCAGCATCTTTGATTTTTCCTCCCATCCTCATGAAGTTCTGCTAATGTAGCCTTTACAAGGTACCTTGATTCCAGTCACCACATCTTCATTGCTACCATCACACTGGAAGCTACCAGCATCTCTCTCTCTGAAGCCTCCTTTTGGCTGGTCCTTCTCTCCACAGCAGATGGAGGGATCCTTTAAAAACAGATCATTACATTCCTGTGCTTACAACCCTTTAATGGCCTCCAGTGACACTAAGGCTCTAAGCCAAGAATATAGGCCCCCTGGGGCCAGGCTTCCCAGATCCCTGGGCAGCTCTCAGCTCCAGGGAGCCTCCCACCCCATCCTCTTACTCACTTATTCTCTTCAGCAGAAAAGATCCTGTTTGTTTGCCTGTTTATCTCTGCCCTTTGGAATGGAATCTCTAGGAAGCAGGGACCTTTCTGACTTGTTCCCTCTGCCTTTCCAGCACCTAGAGTGGTACTTGGTGATCCCCAAGACATGTTTAGAAAGAATGAACAGATGTTGTTGACTTTGTTTCTTTTTGTACCACTCAGCTGTGACATTTTTAAACTCTACTTTCTGTAGTGGCTTTAGGGTATACAATGACTTTAGCTAAATATAAATGTAAATTATTTGTTTTGCACAAATTATTTTGTTTGTTGTACAAATTTGTTCTACAAATAGGTAGCCTCAGCCACACCCAGAATAAAAACAAAAACGAGAAAGATGATTCTCAGGACACCTCCGAAAAAATTCATACTAGTTCTGACGGAGAGAAACAAGTCCTGGCACACTCAGCACCTGAACTGTTAGCTGAGAGCAAGGAAGAAATTTCAAAAGCTGAGAGTGAAGACAGGCGCATCGCCCAGCCGGGTGATGGTAAGTCTTGTTTCCATTTCCAGGATCCAAGTAATAACCATACGCTTAGACGTGGAACACTGTTAATAGGTTTGCGATTACTACCTTGTTCCAGGTTCCTTGTATTCCCTTTTATATTAAAGATACCAACCATTTGTAACTACATACATAAACACCAGATGGCTAGAAAAGCAGAGCTGTTGGCATTCAGATGTTACAGAGAGAGCTAAACTCATATGGGCTATGTTTGCTGTCTCCGGCCTGTTGCCCAGCTTCCACCAAGCCTGGCCCATTCTTGCAGTGAGAGCATGGTTTTGATATTTGGGGGTTCTTTTGGACACCATGGATGCTATAAGATTGACAGATGATCGACAGCCACTTAGGAGATCATTAATCCTTTACAAGTGAATTTCTTGTATTTTTTATTATTTTTGGCTGCACTGGGTCTTTGTTGGTGCATGTAGGCTTTCTCTAGTTGCAACAAGTTGGGGCTTCTCCCCGTTGTGATGTGCAGGCTTGTTGCTGCGGAGGCTCCTCGTGCTGTGGAGAACAGGCTACAGGCGCAGGGGCACAGTAGTTGCAGCATGCAGGCTCAAGAGTGCAGGCTCAGTAGCTGTGGTTCGCGGGCGTCATTGCTCTGCGGCACGTGGAATCTTCCCAGACCAGGGATCGAACCTGTGTCCCCCTGCACTGGCAGGCAGACTCTTATCCACTGGACCACTGTGAAGCCCATACACGTGAATTTCTTTTAAGCGGCTACAATTAATCAGCATATTTTATAGTTAGAGTTTTGAGGATTGTTGCTTTTTTAAGTAAAATGTTCTTGAGGAACATAATTTCAAGACTATGTGAATCATGACTGTGTTGAGGACCAACCAACCATGTAGGGTCTCAGGTTTATTTACTTCTTTCATTGATTCCATTCATTATTCCCGGCTGCAGTGGTTGGCAAAAACCAACCTGTATGTCATCCCTCACAATCTTTGTGTGCCAGCTGGCAAAAGGTTTTGAGTTTACTGTGGGGTTATTTTCTTTGTTACTCAGTTTGTGACCATAGTAACCCACAGGTTGATGTCTCATTATAACAACCCCAAAGTGTTCGGGATGGATTGTCAAAGTTTTTCTTTTAAGTTAGTTGCTGTTAAACATAGATATAGTCTAGGGTTAGATTCATAGCTCTAAAAAAATAGAAGTGTTAGTCGCTCAATCGTATCCAACTCTTTGCACCCCCATGGATTATAGCCCACCAGGCTCCTCTGTCCATGGAATTCTCTGGGCAAGAATGCTGGAGTGGGGTGCCATTCCCTTCCCCAGGGCTCTTCCCATTGGCAGGCAGATTCTTTACCATCTGAGCCACGAGGGAAGTTAAACATAGGTATAATTTGGCCTTGGATTCATAGCTCTAAAATGAAATGTTTATTAAGTATTTCTAAACTCTAGGCATCTTCCTTTCTTCTGTACTCAGCTTTCATTTCCTCTAATTCCTCCAGGTCTTCCCAAAACTATCTCACAATAGATTCTGTTCAGGTCTGTTCATTCTCATGGCCTTTAAGCAGACAATCTGGACTCGGGTTTTTTGTCTCTAGTTCCCTTGTATGTGCTGTGACACTGGCCCCAGTGTGGATGAAACCATTGCTCTCGGACAGTGTCCAGGTCAGTGAACAAAATGTCAGACCCAGAATCAGCGACTGGCAGTTGTCATCAGCTGGGCCATGAGACTCTCCATCTACAGCAGGGAAATACTTGCTTGTTAGTTACAAATTGGTCCCTTGATGAAGACATATGTTAGCTTTACTTATACATTCCTTTCAAAAATCACTAGACTTTTAGAAATTCTATTCTGCTGGTGAAATTTGCATTGGCCTCATCCAGTAGACAATGCTGGTATTTTCCCCTATACCTATTCCCTCTTTTTTTCTTTACCTCTCAGATCGCTGGGCTGCAAAAGCGATATTCTTCACATCTGCCCACTAACACGGATTCCCTTGAAAAATAGAAGAAAGAGAAAGGACATTATAGTAAAATGCTCCTCCTACCCACGTATGCTCTTTTAGAACCAGAGTGGTGTATACCACTCTGGAATTGTAGCTTCATTCTAACTGGAATTCTGAGGGTCTGGAAGGAAGGCCGTATCTTCAAAAGATGCTATCGGTGTTTGGAACCATTAAATTATACTTCATGAAAAAAATGAAAATTACATTTCCTGATGTAACTAGTGGCTACCAAAAAACATCAGCTGATTTGAAGTTGTTCTCATAAGGCTTTTTATCAAAGAGTGACTTCTGATCTTTAAGCATTAACCATAGTTCTTCAGATCTGGAGACAACGATTATGATCGGCACTTATTAAAAGATGGGACTTCCCTGGTGGTGTAGTGGATAGCAATCCACCTGCCAAGGCAGGGGACACAAGTTAAATCTCTAGTCTGGGAATATTCCACGAGTCTTGGGGCAACTAAGCCTGTGTGCCACAACTTTGAGCCCATAGACTAGAGCCTGTGCTCCACACGAGAAGCCAACCCAATAAGCAGCCTGTGCACTGCACCTGGAGAGTAGCCCCTGGTTGCCGTAAGTAGAGAAAAGCTTGCTCAGCAATGAAGACCCACAGCCAAAATAAAGAAAGAAAGCTATGACACAGTAACTGGTTATTCCTCTAGTGATGCATGTTTACTTCTTTAATAACAAATTTATGCTTTCTCATCCTGTATGCAAGTTTTTGGTGTACATTATAACTTTTCATTTCAATCCCAAACCATAGTAAAACATTTTGAAGACATTTTGAAGGTAATCAAAATCAACACTCAGAAATGACAATACATATATCTCAAGTGTAGTGTCGAAGTGACAACAGTGTTGTAGTTATGACTAAGCTCATGCTCAGGCAGTGAAAACTACCTTACAACTGTCACCTGGCCAACCGTAGTTGTAAACTGCGAAGGCTGTTGACTGGAAGACATGCCAATTTCAGATTTATTAAAGTGTGGGAAAAGCATACATTTTTGAATGTATGAAATATGGGGATAATCCACAATCTAAGTTTGTAAAGTGACTGATGTCTCGATTAGAAATATTCAAATAGATGGTACTGCAAATAAATCATAGACTTGTGGATCTGGAAAAATACTTTAAAGGGTCACTGAGGAACCATGGCAGAAGTTAAGAGCGTCGGCTCTGGAGCCAGAGTACTGGGCTCTGTTACCAGTGGCCTTGGGCAGATTGATGTGCCTTTGCTTCCCTCCTCTGTAAGAGACACAACTTGTTTCTGAGAGGTGTTAATATAAGTGCTTAGACCAGTACCAGGCACATTGTAAGTGCTTGGTAAGTGCTAACTAATTATTATTTAGATCTGCTTGGATAACCCTATCCTTTCTGCAGAATATATTGGTCAGTAGGACTGAGAAAAAAACAAACAGAGATGATGAGAAAGACATCTTGTTCACTCATCTCCTTTTGTGAATATGAGGCACCAGGCCATAAGGCATCAGTCATTTAAGTGGCCCTCGACATAGCAGTCTTGCTGTGGATAATCAAAATAGTGTTCATTTGGTCTCAACTTAAACCCTCTCTAGCAATAAGAATAGATTCTAGACTCCTTCAAGACTGATAAGGACTCTTTCAGGGTAGGAAATTCTCCCTTATGCCTAATGCTTATCTTTTTTTAAGCAAATGCTGAATTTTTTTTTTTTTCTTGTTGGGTCATTAGCAAAAGTTCCAAAGCAACTGGTTACCATATAAGCCAGTATGCTCTTAGATCACCTGCCATGTTTTATTTCATGCCCAGGTACGTGTTTCTCAGATGTGCTGATATATTTGATACAACTCTTTCATCATCCTAACCCACACAGGATTAAAGTAAGCTGTTCTGGATAGAGGGTAGATATGCCTTCAGGTTCTTTTTTATCTTCTTCATTAGAACAGTTGAAGAGTTCAGATGCTTGGCCTGTGTATGACACCCTGATGTTTTGTGCAAGTAAGAATACTGACCGGATTCATGTCTATACTAAGGTAGGCATCATGTGGATTCTGGAAACATACACAAAGCTTCCTTTTTTCATGTTCCTATGGAGATAATTTTATTAGCAGTGAGATGGGTAGTGAGTTCTTTTCCTCCTTAAAGCTAATTCTCAGATTTCTCTGTTAAATCTAAAGACAGTGAGTGGCAAACAGCTTGGTAGTTAAAAAGTGCAGACTCTAGGGCCAGGGTGCCTAGGTTCAGATCTGTTACTGACTGTGGAATCTTGGACACAGTACCTAACTGCCCTGTGCCTATTTCCTCAACTGTAAAATATGGAGCGGTCGTTGCCAGGACAAAATAAGCTGATTCCTGGGAGGCCCTTAGCACAGTGCCTGGCCCTGGTGGACTCTCACTCCGAGTCGCCTCCTGCGCTGATCTCGCAGCAGCAGCAGCAGCAGCGTCCTTACAGAAGCCTCAGCCTGCCCACACATGCCGAGTAAACCTGGGAAGCTTTAATAATGTGGCTGTTCATGGCCTGCGTTGGCAGCACTCAAACTTTTCAGTCGCCGGACCTCTTAGCACTCCTAAAATTTGTTGGGGACCCAAAGACCTTTTGTTTATGTAGGTTATGTTGTTGTTTAGTCACTAAGTTGTATCCAACTCTTTTGCAACCCATGGACCAGAAGCCCACCAGGCTTCTGGTCCATGGGATTTTACAGGCAAGAATACTGGAGTGGGTTACCATTTCCTTCTCCAGGGAATCTTCCTGACCTAGGGATGGAACCCATGTCTCCTAAATTGGTAGGTAGATTCTTTACCACTGAGCCACCAGGGAAACCCCATGTGGGTTATATCTCTTGATATTTACTGAATTTGAAATTAAAATAGAAACACCTTAAAATACTTATCCAGGTGAAACTAGCAGTAATAGGGCTTACCCGGTGGTGCAGTGGATGAGAATCCGCCTGTCAATGCAGGGGACCCGGTTCAATCCATGGGTCAGGAAGATTCCACATGCCGTGGAATAACTAAGCCTGTGCTGCACAACTAATGAGGCCATGCTTTAGAGGCTGCAAGCTTCAACTACCAAGCCCACGCGCTGCAACTACTGAACCCCATGCACCCGGAGCCGGTGCTTCACCGCAAGAGAAGCCTGTGCACCGTCAGAGTAGCTTCCACTCAGCACAACCAGAGAAAAGCCCGGTGCAGCAGCGAAGACCCAGCACAACCAAAAATAAGTGAATAAGTAAATAAAAAGGAACAAACTAGCACTAATAAATCCATTGCATACTTATATAAAAAGCATATCTCTGTGAAAAATAATTATAATTTCCAAAACAAAAATAATGTTTAGTGAAAAGAGTGGCATTGTTTTACATCTTTAGCAGTTTCTCCTGAAGGCATAATAGAAGACGGTGGGATTCTCAGATCTGCCTCTGCGTGGAAAACTTCCCTGGACATTCCTAAGAGAATAACAGTGGAAAAGGCAAATGGTGCTGCACTAGTATTATAAAACTTATGTCTCTCTGGATCTTCTGAAAGGGTCTTGGAGACGATGTGGGAATCGTTGGCCAAGGTTCACTAGTATGAGTATTTGAGAAAAAAAAATTACTGAGATTTATGAACACTTTTGCTTGATCTACAGTTCAAACTTCTAATCTTTACAAATATCATAAAATAGGATTTGTGAATTTTTAAACACATGGGCCATTCTATTGAAATAATGTCATTTTAAAGATAAGTTAGGTTGGGCCTGCCCAAACTCAATTATAGGTTTTCTGCTAAACCAAATAATTAGATGCAGAGAGATGGTGTACCATGTAATAATCTTCAGTTCTAACTGAATATTAGAAGATACTGCTAGAAGATTAGGAGACGGCTAGGATCACGAATACCAGAAGCTCCAAGCAGCCTCCACTCTGGGACTACTGCCAAGAGCGACATCAAGAATGAAGATAGGCAGGACAAGTTTCCCTTAAAGGCTTCAGGCTTGGTCCGCCATGTGGAACTTCTAGACTTGGGGAGCACCAAGAAGCCCTCCGCTCCTCTAGAGACAGATCTAAGTGTCTGAGCCACCTCCTGACCCTCGTGAGACCATCACCTGAGAATAACAGAGAATGGCTCCCCCAGGGGCTAGAAGGTCAAGAACCCAGAAGGCAGACCCCAGGCAGAGCACACACATGAATTGAGAAGCCCTTAAACTTCTTACTGTGTACAGTGAAGGCTCTGCATCCTGGATCATCATGTCAGGGTATCTCCTCCTCTGGTGGAGACTGGAGAGAAACTGCAGATGGCAGAGGGTAGAGTGTGCCTTCATTGTAGTTCAGTTGCTAAGTCGTGTCCTACTCTTTGTGACCCCATGGACTGCAGCATGCCAGGCTTCCGTGTCCTTCACCATCTCCCAGAACTCTGCTCAAACTCAGGTCCACTGAATCAGTGATGCCATCCAACCATCTAATCCTTTGGCACCCCCTTCTCCTCCAGCCCTCATTCATTCCCAGCATCAGAGTCTTCCAGTGAGTTGGCTGTTTGAATCAGGTGGCCAAAGTATTGGAGCTTCAGCTTCATCTCCAGTCCTTCTAATGAATATTCAGGGTTGATTTCCTTCATGATTGATTGGTTTGATCTCCTTGCTGTCCCAGGGATTCTCAAGTCTTCTCCAACCCCATAGTTTGAAGCATCAATTCTTCGGCGCTCGGCCTTCTTTATGGTCCAGCTCACATCCATACGAGAACCCCTGAGCAGTGTGAAACGCAGTGTGCCTGCCCCCAAGCACATGCTGCGGCCACCTCCTGACCTCTCAACAGTCTCGAGTGCATTTTTACCGCTCTTCTAAATGCGTACGTGTCCCCTTGCCATGAAGCATTATTCAATCAATGTTCTAAACTGGAGACACTAGGCAGGTGAAATGTCAACAGGGATTTTCACAGGAGAGTTCAGAAGAAAGCTTTTCTCTTCACCTCGCTGCTGCTAAGTCACTTCAGTCGTGTCCGGCTCTGTGTAACCCCACAGACGGCAGCCCATCGGGCTCCCCCGTCCCTGGGATTCTCCGAGCAAGAACACTGGAGTGGGTTGTCCTTTCCTTCTCCAATGCACGAAAGTGAAAAGTGAAAGTGAAGTCGCTCAGTCATGTCCGACTCTTAGCGACCCCATGGACTGCAGCCCACCAGGCTCCTCCGTCCATGGGATTTTCCAGGCAAGAGTACTGGAGTTGGGTGCCATTGCCTTCTCCTCTCTTCACCTTAGGAGACCTGAAATAAAATCTTGAAACAGAAATTTGTATAAAAACCCCCATTCAGTGCCTGAAAGAACACCCTTTAAAAGGAAGAGCAGTAACAGATGTTTAGCATCTTACGTCATGTTAATAGCATACCTCTAAACTGTTCACTTCAGCCAGAACCCCATGTCTGATGGGAGTTCACTTCAGCTAGAACCCCAGCCAGAATAACAATTACACATCTGAACTTTTAATCACTATCTAAGTACTTCTTGTGTATTTTTCCTTCCCCAAAGTGATTGTGGCAACTGTAACATTTCTTTCTGGCTGAGAGAATGAGACAGAATATGGGTTAAACTTTTGTTTATACAGTAGATTTCTATATACAGAGATTCTTCTTTCACTTCATAACAGAAATGCTTCATGTTTGACTGATGACACCTCTCTCCATGGTATGCTTTTCCCTTAGACCAGATGTAGCGGGGGCTCTCAGAGGGCCTGGCCCCCTCCTGGGCTCCGTTTCCTCTCAGTGGGGGCAGTACGGGTGGAATCTTGTCTGGAATGAGCTGCCTCAGTTTATCAGTGTAGAAGACTGGGCATGAAATGCAATAATAGCATTCTTTACTTTTAAAGTAATTATTAGTGCCTACAGACAAAATGGATTAATACTGCCTTCCTCATCTATAATCAGGATGGAAACCAGATGAACTGTAATTTCATTCCTTTGGATATAAAATTAGACCTGTGGGAAGATTTACCAGCAAGCTTTCAGCTGAAACAAAATCGCTCCCTGGTAAGAACCGTCCTGCATATTTGTTCTGAATGAAAATTTGTTGAGTAATTTTAAAGACCATTTTTGAGTTTGATAAAAGCAGAGCAGCTTGTGGCCTGCTGCAGAGTCAGATCACTGGGTGCACTTTAATCAGTCCAGGCAGTGCCTATGAATTTACCAGGATAAACGTGAAATCTGTTACCCTGGTGAACGATCACACCTCGGGTTGCTGTTTCTGTGGATAGACTCATCCTCACATCATTTATTTTCTCATTCACAGGATTAGCAGCTGTGAGGTTGCTATCTGACAGAATCACACTTTATCTTTGTAGGTTAAGTTCTAACACTGACGAGCTCTGAGAGCGGGGATAACACCATGTGGGGGGACTCCATTCCTTATGGGAAGCACCAGGGTGCAGCCACAGGCCACGTACCTGCTGGGGAGGCCTTAGTTCTGATCTGTGCTGATTGATCTTCACTGCTAAGGAGGGTCAGCGTGTATGGGGGCTGAGCCAGCATGCATCATAGTGCTGTTTACAAGAATACAGTGATGATGTTTTTGCATTTGAGCAGAAATGAAAACATTGGCCATGGTCGGCTGCACCCATCTTAAAAGAAAAGGTAGCCGTGAGCTGTTTTCTTTGGTGTCATCTAATGCTGATGCTCAGATTACCAGAAAATAGCCAATTATGTATAACTGACTAGTAAGTAAGAGTAACTAGTGAAATGTCCCAGATTTATTATTGACGTCTTTTTTCCCGTGAGAGTTTAGGCAGTCAGGTACAAACGATGCCCTGCCACTGTCACCCCCACAAGATCCACTGCCCCCAAAATCCAGTTTTGCCTTGGCCACCGTTGGGGTGTGTGCGTTTTTGGTGTCAGTGAGCCCATTACTGCTATTGGTCTCTGTGCGTGAAGGACATGTGCCGAGTGTCCTAAATGGTGCCTATAGAGAGCTGATGGCTTGAAAGAGACCTCTGCAGAACTGGCCATGGATGGTTCACAACAAAGGTAGGAAAACTGCATCAAACTGAAGAAAACCTTAAACCGTGAGACTCAAAGCCTGTTTGGGGTTATAATAAAACATCCATTTTCAGATGCTATACGTAGCCTTGCTTTCAAAGGAAGATGCCTGGGAAACTGTACACTTTTTTCATTATCTCATTTTCCACCAGATCTTGAGGTTTGTTCGAGAATGGAGTAGTCTAACTGCCATGAAGCAGAGGATCGTCAGGAAAAGCGGGCAGCTGTTCCGCAGCCCAGTTCTGGCTCTGGAAGAGATCGCAAAGCAGCAAACCAAACAAAACAGCGCTAAGAGGTATGAGTTGCCTTTCTTCATTTTGTATTTTATTGTTTGTCATAGTTATTTCTGTAGGAGTGTCAGACATTTTATGTAACCACTAACAAAATTCTGATGGATTAAGAGAATATGATACATAAAAAGCGTATTTTGTAGCAATATAATTAGATATTTTGTGAATTTGATCACATCTGCTGGGGAAAATCAAAGTGTCTGGAATTTGCTGACTATAAGTCCTGCTCATCAAGAGAGAGGCCAGACTCACAGGTTGATCGTGCTCTTGGGACATGCATCTTGGGTGTGATACAGCGTGGCAGCTGCTTCTGTTTGATGTACCACTGCCCAAGTAGGCTGTGCATGTGTGCTCAGTTGCGTCCGACTTTTTGTGACCCCACGGACTGTAGCCCACCAGGCTCCTCTGTCCGTGGGATTTTCCAGGCAAGAATACTGGAGTGGGTTGCCATTTCCTCCTCCAGGGGATCTTCCCAACCCAGGAATCGAACCCATGTCTCTTGTGTCTCCTGCATTGGCAGGCAGGTTCTTTACCACTGGGCCACGTGGGAAGCCCCTACTAGGGGACGGTGGCAGTTATCATGCCCATGGCTGGAAGCAAAGCAATAGGAAAGGTTGACTATCTCGGGTTTGTGACTTTCACCTTCATCGTGACAGGTGCCTTTCAAATCTCTACACGCTCCCTTTTCTCAGTAGCAGCAGCAGCATCTTTGCCTCACAGAGACATCCCCTTGTGTGATCTGAAATCCCTAGTCTCTGCAGACTCTTTGTCAGCATGAAGCAAAGATACTGAGGAAAAGCAGGCGGCTGTTCTATAGCCCAGCTCTCATTTTGGAAGAGATCACAAAGCACCGAACCAAGCAGCACTATTGGCAGGAAGAGGCCCTTTCTTTAGCTCTTGCGTCTCCATATACCTGTAATCTCTCTTCATCCTCACATCCAGCATTTTTATCATCTCTAGCTTTTTCCATGCACATGGGTGACAAAAATCCATGAACTGTAACCAGTACAATTGGTTAAGTACATTAAATCCTCATGCTGTGAAGACCTCTTCCGCTGTCTCAAAATATCGTATGTGAGAACATAGAAAATCGTTAAGGGTAAAAATAAGTGTATTAAAAGGTTGCTGTGTTCAGTTACTCAGTCTTGTCTAACTCTTTGCAGCCACATGGACTGCAAAGCTCACTGCTCTTCTGCCCGTGGAATTTCCCAGGCAAGAGTACTGGAGTAGGCTGCCCTGCCCTCCTCCAGAGGATCCTCCCGACCCAGGGATTGAACGCACATCTCCCACATCTCCTGCATTGGCAGACAGATTCTTTACCACTGGTGCCACTTGGGAAGCCTGTTAAAAAAAAAAAAGGATGGAGACACAAGTATATGTAATTGCCGTTAGTGACATCGTGTTGGGGAAGATAGCTTAGGAGCTGCTTTCAGGTTTTCTAACACAAGGTTCTCAGCTGGAGGCAGTTTCTTCTATGGTTGCAATCTTGGGGGTCATTTTTTAGATTGTCATAATTAGGGGATACAGCTGAGACCATCTACTGGGATGAGGTCTGGGGTACTACCCAAAATCCTGCAGTGAACAGGGCCACTCTTCCAAACAGTTGCCTGTTTCACAACGTCACTGGTGCCACTGCTGACTCTAGACCATATGGTTAGGGGATTTGTGGAGACTGTAGGGACTTTATACTTCCTGCTGAGATTACAGACTCATGTGACTAAAAATAAAGCAAGGAACCATACATGAATGAATGAGGTCAGGTATAAAACTAGAAAAGGATGGAGTAGGGGGTAAACCTATAGCAAATTAGAAAGTAATAACCTATCTGCTAAGTCACTTCAGTCGTGTCCAACTCTGTGGGACCCCATCCCTGGGATTCTCCAGGCAAGAACAGTGCAGTGGGTTGCCATTTCCTTCTCCAATGCATAGAAGTGAGAAGTGAAAGTGAAGTCGCTCAGCCATGTTCGACTCTTCGAGACCCCGTGGACTGCAGCCTACCAGGCTCCTCCGTCCATGGGATTTTCCAGGCAAGAGTACTGGAGTGGGGTGCCATTCCCTTCTCCGAATAACCTATCTAATGTCACACGAATTTAGATTTGAAAATTAAACACTGTATGAGTCACGTAAAGCCCTTCGACTAGTTGGATTTATCCATGAGCTGCCAGTTTTGGACTCTTGCCTCCACTCTTTTGTACTGGTTGGCTTTTCCCATGACTGTGTATTACTTTATATAAAAATATACATACACACACATACCTACACACAGATAACAAAAAACATACCTATTTTGTTTTTCTCAATACTTCCTCCAGTCCTCTCCTTTTCATTTTTGTAACCATAGTCTGAGTTGAAGTACTGGTCTTCTCTTTACACAATCATAATTCCCTTCTTAACTGAATTTACAGCTCATTCCAGCCACTTCTAACACATCCTATTATTTCTTCTCCAGCAGACATGGAAGCACCACCTAAGAAAGACAGCTGGTCAGGGTGTAAAAGCAAAAGTCATAAAATCAGTGCAAGCCTAAGTCAGATACACAGTATTATTTATAAATATCATATATAGGTGATCTATTAAAGATAAAGCTGTGTTAAGAAGCAATGGAGTAAGTAGTCAGATTTGTATTTTTTAAGAGCTCCCCCTGGCCCCAGTTGAAAGATTAGACTGAAAGGGCAAGACTTGAAGTGGGAGATAGGTGGCATTAGCTTCCGGTTGCTGCCCTGACAAATTACCCCAAACTCAGCGGCTGAAAATAACAGGAATTTATTATCTCTCAATTTTTTAAGTCAGGAGCCTAAGTTGACCCTACTTGTTTCTCTGCTCTGGATTTTATAGACTGAAAAAAAGATACTAGCTGGCTAGGTTCTTAATGATAGGTCTGGGAAGGATACATTTCCACATTTATTCAGGTTGTTGACTGGATTCAGTTTCTTCTGGCTGTAGGACTTTGGTTTCCTTGCTGACCATTGACAGGGGGGCCACCCTTTGCTTCTAGAGACTTTTTTAGTTCTAGCACATAGGCCCCTATGTCTCAGAATCAGCAACGATGTGTCAAATACTTCTCATGCTTGGAATTAATCCCTTTCTGTTTTGTTTTGTTTTTTGGAATTGCTCCCTTTCTTAAGGTCAACTGATTAGTAATCTTAATTACATCTGCAAAATCCCTTTGCAATATTACCTGGGTGAGTGTTCAATTGAATACCAGGAGATGGGACTCCTAGACAGAGATATCTTTAAATTACAGTTGACCTGGAAAAAAAGATAGGGGCTTATACTGAGGCATTAGAAATGGGAATGGAAGAGAGAGAATGAGGAGAGGTATTAAAGAGGTAGATCCAAAGACCTTGGTCACTAATGAGAGAGAGGTGGGGGGAGAGAGGACTCCAGGGACATGGACTTAGCAGAGTCAGGAAAATGAAACATGTGCTTCTGCAGAGGGTGATGATAGAGGAAGCATGCTGATTCTGGCTGTAGAACCACAGTCACAGTGAACTGAAGTGTGTCTCTCTGAAAGCAGGTGTGAAAGGGGCAAGACAACAGCACTGAATTGGAAGTCTGTATGGGGAACAGGTAGATACTGGATGCCTTGCCCTCTCATCATCCTGCCAGTTTACCTTCTGTTGTTCAGCTGATAGGTCATGTCTGACTCTTTGCAACCCCATGGACTGCAGTATGCCAGGCTTCCCTGTCCTTCACTATCTCCCAGAGTTGGCTCAAATTTTGTCCATTGAGGCAGTGATGCCATCCAACCATCTCATCCTCTGTTGCCCCCTTCTCCTCTTGCCCTCAATCTTTCCCAGCATCAGAGTTTTTTCCAATTAGGTGGCTCTTCACATCAGGTGGCTAAAGTGTTGGAGCTTCAGCTTCAGCACCAGTCCTTCCAATGAATATGCAGGGTTGATTTCCTTCACAATTGACTGGTTTGATCTCCCTGCAGACCAAAGGACTTTCAAGAGTCTTGTCCAACACCACAATTCAAAAACATCAGTTCTTTGGCACTCAGCCTTCTTTATAATCCAACTCTCACATCCCTTCATAACTACTAGAAAAACCATAACTTTGACTCTACAAACCTTTGTTGGCAAAGTGATGTCTCTGCTTTTTAATACGCTGTCTAGGTTTGACATAGCTTTTCTTCCCAAGAGCAAGCGTCTTTTACTTTTGTGGCTGCAGTCCCCATCCACAGTGATTTTGGAGCTCGAGAAAATAGTTTTCTTTCCGGAGAAACTATACCAGAGAGGCACCTGTCTTGGAAACATGAGGCTTAGTGGAGACAAAGAGAGAAGTGTTACGCTAGAAACTACACTCCCTAGATCCCTCTATTGGCTCAGCTGCCACACCGACAGCCATATTTTAATTTAGAATAGGCAGGAGATTAGAGGAGTCATCTCTGAAAAGATGGACTAGCCTCAGAATGAAGACAAAGATATATTAATTTCAGGGAATTCTCCCAAAAGCAATAACTAGATCTCCCAGTGTGATTATTTGTCCACTTGTTTGCAGGCTACACCCAAGCTCAGAGGTTGCAGTCAGCTTTTGAGCAGCTCACTCCTAAAGCCAATATCACCAGTCATTGTTTAGGTTCCTAAGTGAGTTCCCACTTGTTGGAGGGCAGGCCTGATTCAGTTGGAAACCTGTGGGTTTAGAATACCAACTTTTTATCATATAGCCACAGCTGGTCAGGTCGGCAGCCTTGAGCCCAGCACTGTTCTCATTGGTGCAGGCCACTTTCCAACTCACTCCTTTTTATTTTATTGCAAAATAAAATAGTTTATTGCAAAACTTCCATGGTCCATCTTCCACAACCATCTTCATCCCAGAATTACTTCAGGAGACAAGATTCTTCCTTCACTCTTTGTCAAAATTGGGATTCACCGTAATCCATTTGAGAGTTGGTATGCTTATGAACTTAGCAGACCTCAATGGAAAATTAAATATTGGTAACACAACTACGTTTGAAAAGTTGTCAAGAACCCACTATGAGGCTGGTTGATCTGTTTCTTGT